ATTAAAATATTTATATACATATATATATATATATATATATATAATTTGAATGTTGATGTGTTGCTGTTGATTATATGTATTGTATGCTATGGTTGTTGATTGTGAATGTTGCGGTTGAGTATGGAGGTTTGTACTATTTTTACCTCCGCCCGCTTGATACACATGATATAACCTGTGCATTATTTATTCACTTAGAATTTTCGGAATTAAGAATAAACTCGATTATAACTGATTCATAATATGCAATACTGAGTTCATTGTTAATTGTTCTGTCAATTTCCATGTACAGGCCCAAGAGTAAGGTTCAAAACGTTGTACGCTGTGACGCTCAGAGTATGCAGATATAGTCACCTTACTATTGCCTTGTCCGAATTGTGAACGTAAATATGACTATACAGAACATGCGTCCAGCCCAGATTGAGCTCGGCCCGTATATCCCCACCAATTAGTCTAATTTTAGGTATACACATTAATCATAACAAGTTTTGTGGTGTTCTATTTTTAGATCTGGGCCAGTATGGCGCGGTTGATGCGGGATGGCGTGTCTGGCCTCGCCCCGCACATCGGCGCATTCCTATTGGTGTTCGCGCTTTTTGGCGCCACAATCCCGATTCTTCACGAGTTTGGTAGCCCAAGCGTAAACAGGTTTCTGCCCAGTGCCACGGCTTTTGCAATCGGAATGTAAGTGCAATCAGGGTTCTGTAAATTGGGGTAGTGAAAATTGGCCATGCTACAGGTTTAAATCCTTTTCTAATTCTGTTATAATCCGATTGCGCATGAAAGATCCTGATTTTATTCCTATGCGCGTACAATGTTTGCGTCCGTCCGCAAGTACATGCAGCCGTACTGGTCAGGTTGTGGGTGTGTTCGTAGGGTTTGGGTTGTAGTGCTATGCGTGTTGGAAGTAGTGCATAACAGCTAATCTCTATACCCTTCCTCACACACACCTCACCTGATTTGATTACTCGTATACTGTCTTCTTGTTTACGTATTGACCAACGCGTACACATCAGGTGCATGTAGCCGTACCGGGTCAAGCAATGAGTTGTGTGTGCGTTTAAACGTTTGGACTGCAGCACTCCGCGTGTAATATACACACGTTTCATACGATTGCCTCCGATTTGACCCTATATTTATATGCATACCATGTCTCAATGCTCCCCTTTCACAGGTACATCCAGCCGTACTGGGTCATGCCTCGGGTCGTGGGCGCGTTTTTGGCGTTTGGGCTACAGTACTATGCGTGCGTGAAGCAATGTCGCGAGAACGAAATGGACGCCGACGAAAGTACCGCACTTCTGTATGACAAGAACGAGGATAGCAACGACTCCGACTGTTCTGGTAGCATTGTAGAGGTATGTGAATGATGTGATGTGCGATGTGATCAGATTTGGGTCGATTGGATTGGTACTCAACTATATATAGGCTATGGAATGAGAATTGGTTGTTTGTTCATAGGTACAGGCAGTGGGTAGTAACTACTGCGACTTTTCTGGTGCCTTTGTACAAGTATGTGCAGTATATCACCTGAGAGATATATAGAAATGAACAGTATATGTTGAAGTCTAAATGTGGTTAATGGTTCCACATTTAGTTTGCACTGCATGATGGTATCTTATTTATATATTGATGAGT